CCTTCCGGTACTGGAAGTCCCAGATATTTTTCCTCAAAACTTCTATCCTGGGTTTCCAGCAGGAACTGATTGCTGTGATATTACTTTTAGAACATTTGCGCCCAAACATGATGCTGCATTTATTGTTACTAATTGCACTGGGTTACGGTTCTTATTTCTCACCGGTCACTGTTTTGTGTTGGATGGAATTTGGAACTGATGTTCTCTGTATACGGTATTGTTCCTGAGACATGTGCGTCTATTTTCTGAGGGCAAACTACAAAATTTACAATAACATACTATTTCATTTCTTTCACTAGAATCTACTTCTAGTTGTTTACTAAACTCAGCGCCCCCTGACTTGTGCGCAGATTGAAGGTGCAGTTGCGGAGGATGGAAGGAAGCCTAGCATCTGGGACACATTCACACATAAAGGTTAGTTTGGTCGCTTAATGGTACGCAATTCTACATCTGTGGTGCTGTTCAGCTTCTTCATTAATTCTAATGACAGGAGCTTGTTGAAATTTCACAGGCTATTCTATAGATAATGCGACAGGTGATGTAACTGCGGATCAGTATCATAAGTACAAGGTAACTTTCGAGCGACAGTGCTGCTAAACGCACTTTCCAGATTAGAGACTAAGATAAGAAGCCTCAACTAACAGATAAAGAATATTTACGTTTAATAACAGGAAGATGTAAAGCTTTTGCATGAGCTGGGTGTTGATGCCTACAGGATGTCGATTGCCTGGCCTCGACTTATTCCTGGTAATTAATGGCTTACATACAGTACCAATAACCACTGAACAACAACATGTGTTAGAAAATCTGATTCAGAAAAATTTGGCGTTTGTTTCTTCTACGTGCTCTCTTTTTTGGAAGTTCAATTTGGCATACAGCATGAATTTTCTGGTTGTGTTTGTTCCATTGTTACTTCGATATAGATGGCCGAGGAGCTGTCAATCCGAAGGGACTGGAGTACTACAACAATCTGATAGATGAACTCCTTAGCTACGGTATTCGGTCTTTCTTAGAACCTTGTACTGTCTGATCTGTTCACTGAAGTATCCAGCTGTGCAGATTTATATGATGTGATTTTCTCTGTTTATGCAGGAATACAACCTCATGTAACGATCTATCATTTCGATTTTCCTCAGGCTCTTCAAGATGAGTACAAAGGGCTGCTCAGTCCCAGATTCATGTACTTTCCCATTGCCTCTAAATTCTCAACATTTCTGTAGCCACGTCCACAAGAGATGTGGTGAAATTTTCTTTGAATTGTGTGCCTTGATGCAGAGAGGACTACACAGCGTATGCAGATGTGTGCTTCAAGAACTTTGGTGACAGAGTGAAGTACTGGAGCACTGTCAATGAGCCTAACATCGAAACGATTGGTGGATTTGACCAAGGAATCCTACCGCCACGGCGATGCTCATTCCCCTTTGCCTTTGGTTGTGATGAAGGCAACTCCACCACAGAGCCATACATAGCAGCACACCACCTTCTACTTGCACATGCATCTGCAGTGTCCCTATATAGAGAGAAGTACCAGGTTTGAGCTACTGCAATACCTTCTCAGTAGAACTGCCATTTCAGGATGAAGCATTTTTATACGATTCTTTGCTTTGTTCCTCACTAATCAGGCTGAGCAAGGAGGACGAATTGGACTAACCTTGCTTGGTTTGTGGTATGAGCCTGCAACGCAGACTCCCGATGATATCGCGGCAGCTGCAAGGATGAATGATTTCCACATAGGATGGTTTGATTTTGACCCACTCTAAATCAAAGTTTCGTACAAACAAAATCTTGTGTGACTACATGTAAAACATGTGTTCATGCATAATACAGGTTCATGAATCCTATGGTGTATGGAGACTACCCTCCAGTGATGAGGAAGAATGTTGGGTCCAGGCTGCCATCCTTCACGGATGAAGAGGCAAAAAGAGTAAAGGGATCTTTTGATTTTGTCGGATTTAATCACTACGTTGCCATCTACGTGAAAGCTGATCTTAGCCGACTAGATGAGAAAGTGAGAGATTACATGGCTGATGCAGCAGTGGCATATGACAGTAAGAATCTTAGGGCCTTCACTTTTAGCGATTATGCTTCAGAATACAATCGACCTAGTTCATTTTGCAGTGCCGTTTCTCAAGTCAAAGAACCAGTCCCCGTTCGGGTTGGGGTTGGCGGACGATTTTATGACGTCCACCCCCTGGGCTCTCAAGAAAATGCTGAAGCATCTCCAAGTGAAATACAAGAACCCTGCAGTGATGATCCATGAAAACGGTAACTTGCCACTAATGATACCCTAAAGTATATATTGTCCCAAGAAACGGACTATGTGTTCATTGTACTCGATCATGTGCCACATTCACCGTGGTCACTTCAGGAGCTGCTGGACTGTCTGATCCATCCGGCGTCAACACCTACGACGACGAATTCAGGTCACAGTTCCTGCAGGATTACATCGAAGCCACACTTCAGTCCATCAGGTACAGCAATTAATTAATAGCATTCAGCTTTGCAATTGACGATCATACATGCATGCAATTGATACGATGAGCTATCTGAAATTGGTGCCGTTTTTTGCTCTGGAACCTTATCACACACTGATCTCTCTTGTTCACAGGAACGGATCAAACGTACAAGGTTACTTCTTGTGGTCATTCCTGGACGTGTTCGAGATCCTATTCGGCTACAGGATGCGCTTCGGCATCTATGGCGTTGAATTCAACTCGACGGCGAGGACAAGGTATCAGAGGCACTCGGCCAAGTGGTACTCCAGCTTCCTCCGTGGTGGCGAGCTGAGGCCAGTTGCTCTACCTGAGGGAGCATATTCACAGTGATCAACAACACGCTCCAGCTCGAGGGGAATATCTGGTAAATTGGTGATCAACACTCTTGAGGTGGAAGGAATAGAGAATGTATAAGCACGGTTAGTTGGGTGGTATATAGCAGTGCCTAAATATGATTTTCTTGGGTAAATATGGTACGAGTTGAATAAGCTAGTTTTAGCGTGTGGTTGGGTGTTCATTGGGGTTTTAAGATGGAAAAGTCAGCGGTTATAGGAAAAGGACAAAATGTTGTGATAATGTAATGGTACTGTCGACACCCAAAATTGTCCAAAATATATAACGGATTCCGCCATCATGTTTCGTTGATGCATATTTGGATCATTGTATTTACAGCCTAAACGAAGAAAATAGCTTTTTGGATGGCTGATATAGCATAAACAGGCCAGCCAGTTCCCAAAACAGGTTAGTCCAGATTTGGTGGTTTTCCAATTTTCTCAAAGGGAAGAAGAGATCGCACATGTTTCTCTCGTCGAGCTGATCGATAAACATATACTGATAGCCTTGTTTGAAGTCGGGAATTAATTACGATTTTTAGAAGATGTTCATATACTGATAGCCTCGTTTGAAACATATACTGAGAGCCTCGTTTGAAGGAATTAATTACGATTTTTAGAAGATGTTCATATACTGATAGCCTCGTTTGAAGTCGGGAATTAATTACGATTTTTAGAAGATGTTCAGTCCTGGACCTGCCGAAACCGGTCTGGACCTGCCAAAACTGGTCAGTCCGGTTTGGTCCAGTTCAGATGTAAGTTATATTTTGACACGTTTTGCAAGGGCTTTTTCTAGTCTTTCTGGTGTAAGACCACCCTCTCCTTATAAACATAGGGAGCAGAGCTGATTGAGGTGCCCACTAGACACAATTGATCCCAATTACAATTTACTTTTCTCTCTTTTTGGCTTAATCTCTCCCAAACGTTGTTGTTCATCGCTTGATCCGATGACCACGGATGACGTCTTAGGATTACTGGCCGACCTAGGACAACCCGACTACATCCTCATCCCGATGGGGTTTCTTCCGGACGAGAGCTTCGATGGCTCCTTTCTAGTTTGTCTAGAAACTAATCGTTCTTCGTCACGCAAGCACGATTAGCTGCCCTTTTGTGATTTGCTTGTAAAACTCTCTATTTTTCACCACGTAAGGCCTTTATTTGGATGCATGTGTATCCACCTCAATCCACATGTGTTGGAGTGGAATGAAATGGAATGAAATTTAGTTTAATTTCACTCTAACCCACTTCAACACATGTGAATTGACATTAATACATGCGCATCCAAACAAGGCCTAAGTAGGATATCCTTGCTACCCTAGGCTTCTTTGGGGCGGAATCCGAGAGAACTTGCTAGGCGGACTCCCCAAACTAGCTAGGCCGGTTTCTGTAGAGTTGCGCTATCTTGGTCCGTTTACGACCCGTGTAATCTAGCTCTTGTGCTAGGAAAAAAAACAACAAAATTTACATTTTTCATAAATTTTATTAAACTATGTATGAAAAATACTTTGATAATGCATTTATTTGAACAGCAGGAGCTGATGAAGCCATATTTTTCAGGGCTTCATCAGCGACTCCGGCTCACAGTAGCGTCGCACTAGCAGAGCCCAACCAAACCGATGCTCTTGAGTGTTTAGTGTTGGGTTCTCAACCTGAACCTGCAACGTCCTTGGCTGCCAATGTTTATGGTGAAATCTGCCAAGGAGAAACACCATGCTCGCAAACAGACTGGTCATCAAATTTTTTAGATGACCTACCGATTTTGTCAATCAATTGTGAAATCGACTAGTGCTTCTAGAATAAAAATCCGGCATATGCACACAATGACACAAATCGACTTGACATGAGTAGAGCAGAGTTCTCAACCGTCGTAACTGCATCGCAGACGACCGGAGACGCAAACCACACAAGCGTCTTACCAACCCAGATAGATGTGCGTTTTACGTGCATTTAATTACGTTCCATGCTGCTCTCGCTCTCAACATCCCAACCAAACTCTACCGTCTTCTACCCGCCCCCATCTCTCCCTCTTTCTAGACCCGCCTATATATGTATGTTCACGACGCAGCTCCTCTCACCATCACATGCACATCAACAACTCCACGGGCGATATCTGTGAATCCGATCAACCAACGTTGTAGGAAGCCAAGCCAGTGAGTGTCCTGAGACGATCGGAATGGCAGCAGCAGCGGCCACTGTTCGCCATGGCTCCGCCAGTAGCACCTCCGTCTCCCTCGCCATCGTCCTCGCTGCCGTCGCCATCACCTGCTCGTCGTTTCCTCCGAGCAGCGCCGCCGCCAAGGCGGCACCGTGCTCGAGCCAGACCTTCTCGGGCACCGGCGGCGGGCAGCAGCACCCCTACGCGTCGTGCGCGGACCTGCCGCGCCTCGGGGCCACACTGCACTACAACTACACGGCCGCCACCAACACCGTCGCCGTCGCGTTCCGGGCGCCGCAGGCCAAGGGCGACGACGGGTGGGTGGCGTGGGGGATCAACCCTAGCGGCAGCACCGGCATGGTCGGCACGCAGGCCGTGGTCGCGTTCCAGCACTCCAACGGCAGCCTCGTCGCGTACCCGACGGTGCTCGACAGCTACGTGCCGTCCATGGCGCCCGCGGCGCCCGGTGACCTGGCGTTCCCGGTGTCGGACGTGGCCGCGGAGTACGCAGACGGGAAGGAGATGGTGGTGTACGCGACGCTGGCGCTGCCGGCCGGGAAGGGGAGCAAGTTCACCCAAGTGTGGCAGCAGGGGACTGCGGTGGTGAACGACGTGCCGGCGGCGCACCCCACCACCGGGGACAACATCCTTTCCACCGCCACCATCGATTTCAGCGATTGATGTGTTGGGACTTGGGAGACATACATCCAACATACGCTTGCGTGTATCCGGCTGCATGTTCATGCATAATCATGCCCCGTTCTCTACGTCTACTCCTATCTCTTACGGTCTCACCTATGCTGTTATGCCTGCCTGTATAAATAATATTTATCCGTTTATATTTATATATACATACTACAAAGATATGTTCTTGTATTACAATTGTGTTTATATGAGTGAGTGTGCATGCGTTGTGAGTGTCTGAGTTGTACTGTATAATCACAAAAAAAAAGATATGAAACGTTTATGAAAAAACACCGACGGGAATGCTACAACCTACATGTTTATTTATATTTTATTTTTTCTATAAAATTTAAAGCTTGTAATCTATTTTATGATAACCATGACATTTATTGGAATATTTTCTCGTAAATATATCATAATTTTAAATTTCATACTATCTGATTGTTTGATCTGTAGACCATGGATTGATCCAGGTTTAATAATAACGAATTTTGTTTTTAATCATAAGTACATCATCAACTCGATGGTAGGAATTTTTGTTTTTTTTATGAAAGAGTCAACAGTTCAAAGACCTTTAATATTAAATTTATTATTTGTTTTTTTGACATTTATGAGGAAAAAAACACGAGACCTACGTACTCCTCGTAGGCCATGTTTGGAACACGGGAATTTGTGAAATTTCTACACATTTCCTATAAACTACTGCATTCCAAACAAGCCCTTGGTAAAGTTGAAGAATTGAAACGACCATTCTAACCGTTCAGACATATAAAAAATTGAATCTTGGACGATAGCTGATGAATCAAAATGAATATCCCGCCTTAAAGAAAATGGAACAAATTTTCCTTACTGACATTAGCGATGACTTGGTCAATGAAAGCGACATCTCTGCATGCTACTACTCCCATCGAAACAGAAGCTCCACGGACTCGCTCTATATGCATAGCTATCCCTTGCGGTCGCCCCCACGCATGCTGGAGCTGTGTTGGAGTTGTTCCAAATTCACCTACGTGCCGGATATAGACCACCTGGCGCTTCGGACGTGGCCGTGGAGTACGCAGACGACGCGACGCTGGCGCTGCCGGCGGAAGGGGAGCCCGTCAAGAGACTTGGGCGAGGGGACAACATCCTTTCCACCGCTGGATCACCATCGATTTCAGCGATTGATGGGACTTGGGAGACAGATGCTGCTACACCCTTGCTGGGGTTTCGTACCAGGTAATCATAAAAAAAGATAGAGACTTGATTCTCTTGGCCGAAAATGCTACAATTACATGTTTATTTATATTTTATTTTTCTATAAAATTTAAAGTGTAACCCAAAACTCTTGAGATAGTGAGATTTTAAATTTGTACTATGGATCTGGTGCCCGTGGAATTTTGTTTTTCCCTTCACATCGGAGGGTTTTCCAGTTCAAGACCTTTAATTAAATTTATTATTTGTTTTTGACATTTATGAGGAAATTATACTCTGAATTCATATATCTCACGTTAGGCCATGTTTGGAACACGGAAATTTGTGAAATTTCTACACATTTCTATAAATACTGCATTCCAAACAAGCTCTTAGTGGTTTGAAATTCATTTACTTCATATTTCTATACGTCGTTCATAACATGCTGGAGCTCAGGGAGACGGGGTCGCGCGCACTCACCATATGCGGCACTGGTCCCGCCTACCGAACACCCCTCCCTCCGCGCGCGCGGTCGGCCGGGTGAAGAGCCAAGAGACCCGCGGAGGTCGGCACGCTGGATCACTGATGAACACGATGACGGCGAGGTGCTGCTCTCCTCTTCCTCCTGGCCGGCGGCCTCGATCACCCGGAGTGACTTCCCAGCGGGGTTTGTCTTCGGCGCGGGCTCCTCCGCCTACCAGGTATGTATGTTCCCATGGCGAAAAGCGAATTTGTGTTAGTGTTAAACTGTTAATGAATCTGATTTGTGCGTCACCCGATCTCGGATATATATGGACATGTGGTTCCCCTGTAATAAGGACACCTTAATTAGTTGATAGAGCTATGTGAACCAGCATTCTAAAGAAAATTATACCTGACACATATCTCCGTTCTTCTACCAATTGGCCATGATTCTCGGTCAGAAATAAAACTACATGAAGCCATTCGGGTCCAGTACTCCAATTTACACATCAAAAACTATTTAATGGATGCCAAAGGGTCTCTAGCTTAGTGGTTAGAGCATCTGAGTAGCATCTAGCAGGTCTGGGTTCAACTCCCTGTAGGAGCGAATTTAAACAGATTTGGAATATAAAAAAATATAAAAAATAGGTTGGGGTTTCCCTGCTGACTTTGGTAAAAAAAATTATTTAATGGATACCGTTGGCCATTAATTTTTCTTGTACATATAAAAAGATTCTTTCTGATGATAAAGAAGTACTTTCGACGAGTATGACAAATCTAAATACTTTCATGTAAAGTAAAAAAATATTTAATGGATACCATTGGCCATTAATTTTTCTTGTAAAGTAGTGGCTGGAGAGTCGAATAGATTTGAGTGTACCCATCATAGTGAAATTTCCTCCAAAGTAATTTTGATAAACAAGAATTTTGCTTTCATAAGAAATTTTTTCGGTTAATCAGTCCCTTTTACCATTTTTCTTCCAAGCTACTGCCTTGGCTTTCATCCAGTCATTTTCTCTTCTTCTCATAAAGTACCTCAGTACGCTTTTTCTAAACATAAATGTAACTCAATAATTCCAAGTGAAGGAACTATCAGATGTAACGTAAAGTAAGGAACAAAAACTCATGGACCTGAAATTTCTGAAGCGATCACACGAGATTCTGGAGACTCGCATCATTTTGAATTTTCTTGATCTCCATTCGCGCGGTGTCATTTCTGAAGCGATCACATGAGTTCAGGATCTCCGTGCTGACAGAGACATATGTGTATTGCTTTTCTTTGTGGCGCCCCTCTTGCTCTAGTAATCTAAGCAGTGGAAAAGCAAGCTGGGGCATGTTTGTCAATAGACTCCGCGAACAATGTGCCACTTCCTTACCTCCATTGGTTCAAACTTACAACAATGTGTTATTTTACATGTTATAACAGGAAGACGTAAAGCTTTTGCATGAATTAGGTGTCGATGCATATAGAATGTCGATTGCCTGGCCTCGACTTATTCCCGGTAACACCTTAGACAGAGTATCAACTGAACCACTGAACAAAAAGTATGTTAGTGTGTTTCATTATTCGATTGTCGGTTCAGCTCTACTGATTTTTTATATAACATTTTTACTCCACTTAGATGGTCGGGGAGCTGTAAATCCAAAGGGATTGGAGTGTTGGTCGCGAGATCTCCGACACGGGTGAGCCGACCTCTCACTGTCGTTGTCGACCACACACACTACGGCTGGATGTACAAGAAGGGAGGGAGAACAGAGCGCACACACACAGCACAAGCACCAACGTTGGTCGAAGCTCTACCGAGGAGATGGCAAAACTGAATTCGCTCTCTTTACTGAGTTGCAGTGGGAAGCTATATATACAACTCTACCCATCTAATCCTAGTACACACATGTCAGGCTGTCATGCTGCTACAGTGACTAGATGTGACAGCAGGGTTGACTTTGGCGCCTGCCCCTGTTGTGGCTACAGTGCGGCAGGGGAGCCTTTCGGCGTCTGCCCCCGCCGCGGCTAAAGTACAGCAGCGGGGAGCCCTTTCGGCGCCTGCCCGTGCCGCCCGTTCAGAGATGGGAGAGCAGCAGATTACTTTACATGGAGTACTACAACAATATGATAGATGAACTTCTGAGCTATGGTATTTGATCTTTTCTTTGGATTTTTTGTCAATCATATTTGGTACTTGAGTCTCCAACTGTGCAATTATGTATGATGCATCTCTTCTTTTTGCTGTTAATGTAGGAATACAACCTCATGTAACGATCTATCATTTCGATTTTCCTCAGGCACTTCAAGATGAATACAATGGGCTGATTAGTCGTAAATTCATGTACCTGACATCCTAACCCTTAACCTTACTGCAACCACAAGTACAAAGAGACGAAGGGTTATTTACTACATTTGCATTTTGTGCCTTTGTGTAGAGAGGACTTCACTGCGTATGCAGATGTATGCTTTAAGAACTTTGGCAACAGGGTGAAGTACTGGAGCACTGTCAATGAGCCTAACATTGAAACGGTTGGTGGATACGACGAAGGAATTCTGCCGCCACAGCGGTGCTCATCGCCATTCGGCTTCCCTTGCAATGGCGGCAATTCCACCACAGAGCCATACATAGTAGCACACCACCTTCTGCTTGCACATGCCTCAGCAGTGTCATTGTATAGAGAGAAGTACCAGGTTTGATATGTTGCCATCTCTTTTCAAATCAAACCTGACATTGCTGGATGAGACATTCTCACAGATATGACATTTTGCTTGCTGACCAGGCAGAGCAAGGAGGACAAATTGGACTGACTTTGCTTGCTTGGTGGTTTGAGCCCGCAACACAAACTCCGGATGATGCAGCATCAGCTGAAAGGATGAAGGAATTCCACATTGGATGGTTAGTTACGTTCCATTATATTCTCAGGTTTCAGGCAGACAACTTACTGTGTAACTGCATGTGAAATGTCTGTTTATGATTTAGGTTCATGCGTCCTATAGTCTATGTTGACTACCCTCCAGTGATGCAGAAGAATGTCGGGTCAAGGTTACCATCTTTCACTGATGAAGAAAGGAAAAAAGTAAAGGGGTCATTCGATTTCGTTGGATTTAACCACTACATTGTCGTCCATGTGAGAGCTGATCTTAATCAACTGAAACAGAAACTGAGAGATTACATGGGTGATGCAGCTGTGAAATTTGATAGTAAAAGCCCTAAGAGCTTATATACTTTTGTAATGGTTCAAAGTACAGTTGTAATCACGGATGAGCTGAACTTTTGCAGTACGACTCTTGATGTCAGTCAACCAGTTCCCGATCAGGTTGACAATTGATTTTAAGACATCCAAACCATGGGCTCTGAAGAAATTGCTGAAGCATGTTCGAGTGAAATACAAGAACCCAGCAGTCATGATTCATGAAAATGGTAACTTGGCCAGAATTCTGTCCAGAATTTCTATCACAAGAAATGAACAACATTTCGCAGCCGATGCGCATCATATGAAGAGTATAGAGTCATATTGTGCATTTTTCTTGTTCATATCAGGAGCTGCCGACCAACCTGATCCGTCAGGTGGAAACAGCTACGACGACGAGTTCAGGTCGCGGTTCTTGCAGGATTACATCGAGGCCACGCTTCAATCCATCAGGTACCAATACTATTCAGTAAACTCTGCATTCGAGGTTCTTGCTTTACTGAAGTTTTCATCACGACTGTGTCAGGCAGCAGGTGAGTCCTGAAAATGATGGCATCCTTGTTCTGAAATATAATCTACTCTCCTTTCTGCACCCAGGGATGGATCAAACGTGCGTTGGTACTTCGTCTGGTCATTCCTAGACATGTTCGAGTACCTGTTCGGTTACCGCCTCCGGTTCGGCCTCTACGGCGTCGACATCAGCTCGCCGGCGAGGACGAGGTACCAGAGGCACTCATCGCGGTGGTACTCCAGCTTCCTCCACGGTGGAGAGCTCAGGCCGGTGGCTCTGCTGGACAGGGCGTACTACCGGTGATCAGGCTGTCGAGAAGGATTCCTAGTGATCAGAGCGCGAATAATCATGGGCATCGTTGGGTGGTATAGAACATGTTTTTGTTTAGGAAAATGTTGCTCGTGCACACTCGTGTTCGTGTGTCCATGTAAATGCAAACTAAGGGCCAAATTTGAGCGTCAACAACTCGGTTACTCCGAGTGCTCGATCGCGCGGTTGTGGTGGGGCAGGAGGTCATGGAGAGGAGATCGGGGCACGGTTATATGGGCTCGACTGCCCAGTGCATTATTACTTATTAGGCCCGCGAATGCCACGGGCCCTTGCAAAACCAAGCATGGTGGGCACACGGCCCAACTGCAAACCTGCAGAGACGTGGGTCGTCGGAAGCTGAAGGATCGCCCGTCGTATGAAGTACAAACGATCGGAACGGCGTGCTCATGCCGCATCTTCCCAAGAACTGGAGTAATGGCCGCCGGCGCCGCCCACCACCCGGTGGACGTTTGGAGTTCCAACTCCTCGAACGCGCTGCAAACGATGGGTTAATGCACGCAAGACCAACCATTTATATCGAAATGATCCCTGCTTCAACCTCTCCACATTCCACAGCCTCCAATCCATTTCCTCAATCAAGCCTGAAGCCAGCTGCTGTGCACCGACCGAGAACGGCAATGGCAGGCTGGTCGTCGCTCCCTGGCGACCTCATCAACCGCATAGCCGACCGGCTCCTGGCCACGGACGACCTCGACTACTACATGGACTTCCGGGCCGTTTGCCGCGGCTGGCGCTCCTCCACCGCCGACCCCAAGAGCAGCCCGCGGGAACCGCGCTTCCGGCCGCGCCAGTGGGCCATGCTCGACGAGGTCCACCAGAGCGACGCGCGCCTCTTCGTCAACGCCGGCACCGGGCGCTTCGTCCGCAGGGACCTGCCGCTGCTCCGCAGGTACTTCGTCGTCGCATGCGCCGCCGGCGGCATGGTCGTTCTCGCAGAGAGAACCGCCCCGCACGCCGCGCGCGTCCTCAACTCTTTCACCGGCGCCATGGTCAGTTTCGAGGCGCCTGTGCCTTCCGAGGGGAAAGTCGCTGCTCACGTGATCGGCTCCTCGCCGACGCTCGTCCTGCTCTGTGAAGATTCTCGCACGATCTACTGGGCTGATCCTGACAGCAAAAGTTTCATGGCGCACAAGGAGGAACACTTTGCTCATCCTCTAATCAGGCTGGCCCTCGAAGGAGGCATCTACGCTGCTGCACGAGAGGATGGATCTTTGGAGTCGCTTCTTTTCCTTGAGGCTAACATGATCTTGGATCTGTCAGCTGAGCCGTTCGCTGAGTATTTTGCCGGTGGCGCTGAAGGGTAAGCCAGGAAGAACCGTTGTTTCCTAGTGGAATCTGCAGGGGAAATGCTGATCGTCTTCAATCTGCCTCATCGCGTCGAGGTCTTCAGGATCGACACCGGGACCGATCTGCTCGAACGGGTGATGAACCTAGGCAGCCGAGCCCTCTTCATCGGGGACTGCAGGTGCCTGTCCGTGGACGCTGACAAGTTCGCGTCCGTGGAAGCCAACTGCGTCTACTACGTCGTGGTGGAGCCATAGATTCTTTCAACCCCATCACCCTCTCCGTCGACCCTCCATTCTCTGAAGTTCAGCTCCTCTGCTGCTACACTTTCGTGGTCCGGTACTCTCAGCTTGGCTGGAATCAGATGTTTTCTCGTTTTGAACAGGTGGTGCTTGCACCAGGATTGGTCGATGAGCTTGCTGGCTATTTCTCCGAATCTGATGACTTCTCAGACATTGAGCATCTTATGTGATCTACTATTTGATTATTAGTATACCTTGTTCAGGTTCCATTTCCTCTAGTGAGTGCTGTTCTTCATTGATACTATATATATGGATATGACTTAAGTTGTCTACATCCACAGTTCTACACCGCCGGCGCCGTGGGTTCACTGTTGCCGCGCGTGGGCCGGCCGGCCGTTGTCTCGCCTCCGCGTGCTCTGCTTCTTTTGAGATTTGGGATGCAATTTGTAAGACACGCTGGGCCAGAGGTTGGCAGTGCAAGTGTGTATCCAAGTGTTTGCCCAACTAGTCACCATAAAGTGAAGAAGAAAGCCCATAAAGTGGCCGGTTTCGGACTTTAGATGTGCAACAATTACCTTCATCGTGCACTGACGGACAGTTTAGGCTTGGATTCCTAGGCTCTTAGAGCACGCTAATAATATATAATGTATGAATTTTCCATCCATACAGTAGTTATCTCTTCAATATTAATACTATGACCCACATTTTTTCTGTTACAAAGCTTTTTAGTTTTTATGCATAAGCTTCCTTTCTCTCCCTTCTTTTTTTCTCTATCTCAGCATTCTGCCCACTTATAGCTTGTTATTATACTTCCTCTTAGTACAAAAGGCTGATGGAGCGAGGAGACACTGCTTTCTTTTTTTTTTCTTTTATGACATTATGAAATAACGTGCAGCGACTGGTACTAAACCCATGAGACACCAACGCCAAAATGTCTGTCGCATGCTGAAATAGCTACCGCTATGCAAGGCCAAGCGCCACCATGACACTAAGTCGATGTCACCCTCAAGGTTAGTGCAAGTGGTCAACAAAGGCTCCACTCGAGGTAACCTCGTAAGAAGTAAACTGAGCCACACAGATAAAGCCATGTTATATGTGACTCTTCACAGCAGTGCTGTTGTAGCACCACACCCTAATCAAAAGGGATGGTTACATTAGATCATGTCTCTTCGAAGGTTACCTCGTAAGAAACCTACAAAATCACGACCCATGGAATCCACACCTTGCTCTTGTCATCTCAAAGAACAACACACGAGGGTCTTGCCACATCCACCACTGGACGCTACAAATCTGTTTCCTGTATTGCCACCAAAAGGGTGCACAATAATACTCCAAAACCGAAAGATATGAGTGCCGATTCATTTAGATCCACCGTCCCATGATAAGAATCTAGCCCGCCACGTCATTGCCATCTTCCCGGTTGCCGGAGACCACATGCATGGGAGAAGGGGCGAGTGCATGCACCTCCTCAGTAGAAGCCCAAGTCCTCACAAGCGTCCGGCGGCTTGCTCCAGGCGATGGCAAGGTGAGAGAAAGACGGCATGGTGGGCTACGTTACGCCGATATGTCGCTGAAGTTGCGTATCAGTATCGCGATATGTATCGGATGCGCCGATACGCCGCCGATACGGTATCGGTGAAGTATCGGGAAAATACAGCAATAAAAACAAATAAACTAAATCCCGATACTTGGTCGATACTTGTCCCATACTTCGCAGCCCATAACCCCTCAAATTGAAGTCCATCATCTCAACAGTCCAGTTTGGTGGCCCATTTACACAACCCTCACAACCCTAGTCACACATTCAGCAAGACAACCATCGAGAGGACAAATTTTTGAAAAAAAAACCATCGAGAGGACAGAGGAGAGACGGGCAGGCAGACACCATCTCCCGCTCCTGTCGCCGCCGCCGCCCGTTCCTGAAATGAATGAGATCTCTGATCCTAAATATCCTCTCTGGAGGCATGTTAATAAGATTGAGAGCAATGGTCCTGATGGAGGAAATGCAGTAATAGAGTGCAAATTTTGTGGCAAACAAATATCTGGTAGCTATACTAGAATCAGAGCACATTTGTTGAAGATACCACACCAAGGTGTTAGCATTTGCAAACAGGTGACAGTACCAATTCTTCAGCAACTTCGCAAGGAAGTGGTTGATTCTGAGGCAGACATCTCCAACAGCAAACCAAAGAGTGTTCCGCTGCCAATACAGATAGGGAGTACATGATTACCCCCTTCTGGAGGTACAAATGCCTAGTCAAAGAGAAGAAAGAGGCAATCAGGGATTGACAAAAGCTTTTTCCGTGAACGTCGCCAAATTGCTGATGCTCGCGTTGGAAGAATGTTCTATACAGGAGGTATGGAACTTGATTCATTGAAAGAATCTTAGTATCAATTTGATTCAAAATATTTTACTGATTGCTATATTTTCCTTGTCTTTGTAATTTGCAGGTGTTCCATTCAATTTAGCAAGAAACCCAAATTTTTGAGCTTTAATAACGTATCTTGCAAACACTGATTTGGGTGGATATGTACCTCCAGGGTACAATAAGTTGAAGACTACTCTTCTCCAACAGGAGAGAGTAAATGTTGAGAGGCTGTTGGAACCATCCAAGACTACATGGCCTACAAAAGGGATTACTATTACAGCTGATGGGTGGACTGATCCTCAGCGGTGTTGGCCCCTGGATCTTCGGAACGGGTGAGCCGACCACTCACCGCAGCTGAAAGCTCTAGTTTGGTTTTGGTAAATTGATGAAACCCTAAGTGCTAACCTAGTTCATCAAGTGATCATAAGATAGGTAGCACACTTCAAGTAGAGAAGCAAATGAAGATCATAACATGACAATGGTGATAGCATGGAGATGATCAAGGGCTTAAACTTGAAGAGAAGAAAGAGAAAAACAAAAAGCTCAAGGCAAAGGTATAACTTGTAGGAGCTATTTTATTTTGGTGATCAAGACACTTAGAGAGTGTGATCACATTTAGGTTTGATAGCCGTACTATTAAGAGGGGTGAAACTCGTATCGGAATGCGGTTATCAAAGTGCCACTAGATGCTCTAACTCATTGCATATGCATTTATGATCTAGTGGAGTGCTAACACCCTTGATAATATTTGTGTAAATATGCTACCACATGTGCGTCCGGTCGAGCTGTCAGACGGCACAGTGGCTAGGGTTGAGCACCGGACGCTGGCTGCGTCCGGTCAAGGTGGACCGGACGCATCCGGTCGAAAAAACATGCCTCGGGGAGCTTATTGGAAACAACCGGACGCTGGGGCTTCAGCGTCCGGTCAGTTTTACCGGAGCGTCCGGTCAGCTTCGCAGCCGTTGAAATCTGACGAACAGCGTTTGAAGCTGGTGACGCATGGCGTCCATCGGGCGACCGGACGCTGAGGGCCAGCGTCCGGTCAGTATGACCGGAGCGTCCGGTCAGAGCGCGTTTTGCCCAGTGAAGGGGTATAACGGCTCTATTTGATTGGGGCTCTATTTATAGCCCCATGGCCAGCTCAAGGGAAAACTCTTGTACATTTTCATTGACATAGCAACCTTATGAGCCTAGCTAAAGGACTCCCACTCATCTACATCATTGACTCATCATCATAGTGAGATTGGGAGTGATCCAAGTGCATTGCTTGAGTGATTGCATCTAGAGGCACTTGGTGATTGTGTTTCACTGCGGATTTCGCTTGTTACTCTTGGTGGTTGCCGCCACCTAGACGGCTTGGAGCAGCAAGGATCGTTGAGTGGAGGAGGTGATTGTCTCCGACTCCGATCGTGGTGATTGTGAGGGGTTCTTGACCTTTCCTCGGCGGAGCGCCAAAAGGTACTCTAGTAAATTGCTTGTGGCTTGTGTGATCCTCATCTTGTGTTGGTTGTGCGGCACCCTATTGAGGATTTGGCGAGTGATGCCAATCAGCGCGTGAACCTCCAAGTGAGTGAATCGCCACAATGAGGACTAGCTTGCCGGCAAGCAAGTGAACCTCGGTAAAAATCATTGTGTTCATCATTTGATTCCGAGGTGATTGGTCTACATTGGTATTCATTATTGTGATTGATTGGTTCCTACCACTACACGGCGGTATAACTCTCTTGCTCACTCTTACATTACCACAAACTAGTTATCAAGCTCTTTAGTGTAGCTAGTTGTGAGAGCTTGTTTGTTTGATTAGTGTTGCTCTTTAGTTAGTCTTTGAGAGCACACTAATTTAGCTAAGTGTCATAGCTATTGTGTGGACATACACTATTCGAAATAGAATTGTGGTAGGTGGCTTGCATTTTAGTAGGCTAGCGCAACACTCGCTTCGCCGCAAAATTGTCTAACATATTTTGTTAAGTGTTGTTGTAGAATTTTATTAGGCTATTCACCCCTCCTCTAGCCATTAGGACCTTTCAGCAGCCCGTAGAGTGCCTTGCACAGTCTGAGCACCCTGTGCTCTGCTCCCTTGATGGCAAAACCTAGAGGTTACGTGGCGAAGACCGTCTCCGCCAACTCGCCGTTGAGGAAGGCCGATTTTACGTCCAGGTGCTGGACGCACTAGTTCTTCGCTGCTGCCAAAACTAGCAGCAGTCGGATAGACTCCATGCGCGCTACCGACGCAAAGACTTCCTCGAAGTCGATGCCCTCGCACTGGACAAAGCCTCGGGCGATGAGACGCGCCTTGTGCTTGACAATGGCGTCGCGCTCATCCCGCTTGACCTTGTACACCCACTTTAGGCCGATCGGACGGCATCCTGGAGGTGGATCGACGAGCTCCCAAGTCTCGTTTTCCTTGATTGCCTTCATCTCCTCCAGCATCGCCCATTGCCAATTTGCATCGCGTTCGGCCAGCGCGAACGTGGGTGGTTCCTCTGCACTGACAAGAAGCAGCTCTGGGTCATTGAGCAGCCGACCCGCCAGGCTTGAGGGCGCTGTGCCACCGACGATGTCGTACAGCCTGCGGAACCGCACCTCCTCACCGTCGTGGAAAGCATCCACGAACTCTGTGATGTCGCTTGGAGGTGAGGCAAACTCGATTGGAGTCAATGGAGTCCCCTATTCCGCCGGAGTGGTCAGCACAACACTTGGAGTGCTCGGCACCTCGGCTGCAGTGGTTGGCACTACTCCTGGACTGCTCGTCACCACTCCTAGAGTGGTTGGCACTACTACAGGAGTGCTCAGCACCAGTCTTGGAGTAGTCGGCACCACTGCAAGACCTCTCGGCTCTGCTATGGGAGCGTTCGGCACCCGTCCTAGAGTGGTCGACACCACTACAGGACCGCTCAGCATCACTCCTGGAGTGCTAGGCACCCCTCCCGGAGTGCTCGGCACCACCCCAGGAGTGCTCAGCTCTGTATATAGAGTGGTTGGCACCTCCTCTCCACCACCGTGGATGACCAAGTGCTCGACGACGAAGGTGCTGGTGAAGCCGCCAACTTCCCCCATTCTCGGACTGTCCCAATTCCAGGTCGCCTTCTTGTCGAACAAGACGTCGCGCGAGACAACCACCTTGCCTCCGTGTGGGTCATAGAGCCGATACGCCTTGGTACCTTCCTTGTAGCCCAGGAGCACCATCGGTGTGCTCCTATCCTCTAGCTTGGTGAGGACCGGCTTCGTCTTCCTGACGTGGCTGATGTGACCGAATGTCCGGAGGAAGGACACACTCAGCTTGTGCCCATACCAAGCTTCGAATGATGTCTTACCCTTCAGGGCCTTGGTGGGTGCGTGGTTAAGGATGAACACCGCCGTGGTCACCGCCTCACCCCAGAACCTTGCCGGCATGCCCTTGGCCTTCATCATGGATCGAGCCATGCCGACCACCGTTTGGTTCCACCGCTCCACCACGCCATTCTGCTATGGCGAGTATGGCGCGGTGTGGTGTCGCACCACACCCTGATCCACGTAGTACCTTGAACTTTGCTGCCGTGATCAGTCATCAGCACGTGTAGCTTCTTGCCACTCTCCGCCTCCGCGCGTGCCTTGAACTTCTTGATCGCCTCCGCCGCCTCGGTCTTGCTGGCCAGAAGCTGTAGCCACATGTACCGCCTGTAGTCATCCACCAGCAGGAGGAAGTATCGCCGACCACCATTTGTGGCTAGCGTGATTGGTCCACAGAGATCGTCCGCCGCGTGATACTTGGCCGCCTTTGGGAACGTCAGCCTCCTCTGCTTCCTGGCCAGACAGCTGTCACACATCTCGCCTATGTGTGACGTCGCCATTAGGAGAGTGGCCTCATCATCATCATCAGCTGCACCAGATGAGCCTCAGCCTTCTTCTCCTGCTTGCAATTTGGGCATGCCTTTGCCCAATGGCCCATCTTCCCGCAGCGCCGGTAGGCATTGGGGTCGACCTTCTTCTTCTTCTCCGAAGAAGCCTTGCTGCAGCGCTTGCCATCACCACCACGGCTAGAGGAGGCTTTCCCGGAGTTCCTCCAGGCAGCCCACTCCTCCTCTGTCAATAGCAGCTTGCCGCTGTCCGTCGTTGCTGTGGCCTGCTCCATGCGCTCGTCCACCGCCCGTAGACGGACTGCCACATCCTCAATGGTGAGGGTGGACAAGTCCAGCATTGTCTCTATGGAGAGAGCAATCTGGATGTACTTCGCCGGCACGGAGTGGAGGTACATGGAGAACGCCTCTTCTTCATCGATGGTGACGCCGTGGCTTCTCAGCTTGCCGATGAGCGACTGCAGGCGGAGGGAGAAGTCCTCCACCGATTCACCATCCTTGAACTTGAAGGTGGGGTACTTCTGCTCCAGCAGCTGGGCCGTCGCCTTCTTTGCGCGGTCGGAACTGACGCGCATCGCTGCAATAGCCTCCCACGCCTCCTTAGCAGAGTTCTTCACCCCCAACGGCTCCCTGTACTCCGCTAGCATAACAACGAGGATAGCCTCTAACACTCACTGACATGTTTTCTTCTTCGTTGTCGGTGCCCTTGTCAATAGCATTCTAGAACCGTTGGGCTCTGAGCTTGACCTTCATGGTCACCGTCCACTCGCCATAATTGGTGCGAGTCAGTGTCGGCCAACTGGTGCCGCTGACCCCGCACTGTGCACACGACGACCTCCTATCGTGGCTGGGCAGCCATAGCAGCACCGCTGCTGTCGTCCATCTCCAAACCGTCCATCATCGTCAGCGGTTAGTCCGACGACGGTGCTTGTACGGCTCTGACACCACTTGTTGGCCCCTGGATCTTCGGAATGGGTGAGCCGACCACTCACCGGCATTGCCAACCACACACTATGGCTAGAGGTAGAAGAAGGGAGGGAGAACAGAGCACACACACACAGCACAAGCACCAGCGTTGGCCGGAGCTCTGCAGAGGAGATGGCAAAACTGAACTCGCTCGCTTTACTGAGTTGCAGTGGAAAACTATATATACAACTCTTTCCATCTAATCCTAGTACACAGATATGTCAGGCTGCCATACTGCTATAGTGACTAGATATGACAGCAGGGCTGACTTTGATGCCTGCCCCTGCTGTGGCTACAGTGCGGCAGAGGAGCCTTTCAGCGCCTGCCCCTACAGATGCTACAGTGCAGCAGCAGGGAGCCTTTTCGGTGCCTGCCCGTGCCACGCGTTCACACAGGGGAGCAGTAGATTACTTAACAAGTGGCGCCCACTCATTAACTTTATAGCTGTAAATGAAGATGGCCCTATGTTTCTGGGAGCTGTTAACACTGAAGGAGAGATTAAGAGAAAGGAATACATTGCTGAGAAGTTGATCTCTGTGATTGAAATTGTTGGACCAAAGAATGTTGTCCAAGTGATTATAGATAATGCAGCAAACTGCAAGGGTGTCGGTCTGATAATTGAACAGAAGTATGACCACATCTTTTGGACTCCATGTGCTGTCCACACTCTAAATTCGGCACTAAAGAATATTTGTGATGCAAAGGACAATGATGCTGAAAATGCTGGGCTCATGTGGATTAAGGATACTGTGGATGCTGCGTTCATGATCAAGAACTACATCATGAACCACGGTATGCGCCTATCAATGTTTAATGAGTTTAGTAAACTCAAATTTCTTGCTATTGCCGATACAAGATTTGCATCACATATTATTATGTTGAAGAGGTTTCTGGTTCTCAAAGAGTCTCTTGTGTTAATGGTTGTTAGTGACAAGTGGTCAACATATAGGGAAGATGATGTAGACAAAGCAAGATCTGTAAAAGATAAGCAGCTTGATGATTTTTGGTGGGACAATGTTAAATATATTGTTGATTTCACTGAGCCTATTTATTCAATGCTAAGGGCAGCAGACACAGATCAGCCATGTCTCCTTCTGATTTATGAGATGTGGGACAACATGATTGAGAAAGTGAAAGATCGCATTTATCGCCATGCGAGAAAGCAACCTGATTAAGAATCTGCCTTTTATGACACTATTTATCACCTGTGTCTCTTGTATCCTAATATTTATTATTGTGCTGTAAGAACCTTAAAACCAAGTACCATGCTGTCTTAGGTGCTTCATGGCACTAGCAATGTCTATGTTTAGCCATTTTTTATTTGTTAATTGTTCTGCTAGAGTGAAAATTGTTCTTCGTAGGTGTATTCTGATTTTTTGGTATATTTATATACTTGCCGTATCGCCATATCGGTATCGGCGTATCCGTATCCCGTATCGGTGCAACGTAGGGTGGGTGGCAGTGTGCTAGAGTTGCTACCCGAGTCGAGTCGCCCCAGATTGGAGTGACGCGGGGCCTGTTTCCTTTCCTTGTTCATTGCGCACCAGAAACACTGCTTTCGGCTTAGTATAGCTGAGAGAAACTTGCTACCGGGAAGTAAAGAAATGGACACGTCGATAGCAACGGCTGGCCTGAATCCCTTGAGAGAAAAGAACATCATTTCGCGATGGCCCAATGAAGCAACGGCAAGGACTTGCTTTGGCTTTGAGTTGAGCATGCAATTCCTTGTTCCTCTACTTTGATTTTGGTTACTACTAGTGTATATGTCGACCCAATATTGAAATATGAAATGCGACAAAAACGAAGTCTCCAGAAAATGTGTGTGGAGAATTCGGAAGCAATATGTTTGATTTATTTAATTTGTGATTTTGACGGGCACTTGAATTATGATAGTCACTAGTATATGGTACCCTGTATTACTGTAATCTTGGTTCGTTAAAGAACTTTACTTTCGGTATTCAATTCATATAGTACTAAATCTTTTACCGAAATTGTCCCATTTAGTGCTAATCGTCCGTGTAACGCTGCATTGCTTCACTATCAATCTTTAAGCCTTTTTTTAACTAAATATAAGTGAACGGTTGGAGCAACTTACCCATCACTACACAAGTATAGGGTGTCAAGCACTTCCTGCCTGGGGCTGAGCTTGCAGTACCAGTAGGTCACTGGAAGTTCAAAGCTGACCAACTAGTCAAATCAGACTTTTAACGTACTAAAACATCTTTTTGAAGGAAGTACTAAAACATCACATTTTGCTTTCACGAACTGGCTGGTACTTGCATTCATTTCGATACAAGCAAAAGGACGCACAGAACTATGTTTTATCAAATGGATCAAGCAAGTGAAATTCAGCCGCGTATTTTGCCTTTGCTACCGTATATCTAAGGACTGTATGAAGGTAGTTTTCACACGACAACACAGAGCTAATGTTGAACATATGAAGCATCGCAGAACTAAACAAGATATATAGGCCCCTGCTGCAAAATTCATGGCACACAAATGGTAATCTAGTGGAGAAGAAAATAGCTAGATGGACGACTCCCACGTCAGAATTGTAAAGTAAAATACATCCTTAGCCCTTAACGAAAAATTTAGCTAAAATCATGAGATTTTCTTTTTTTTTTCCGAATACGCAAAAGATTTGCGTATCATTGTAATTAAGAAGAAGAAGAGTTTAACCATACACACGACACGCTTCTAATGAGCGCCCTAAGAGGTCTTACAGTATGACTGGACATTCTTAGCAGACTGTTTCAAACTTCGATATAACATAAAAGTAAACAACCGAAACTACGAGCAGCGCACTAACCTACGGAGCTGTGCGTCTCCGCTAATGGCCGCGCGACTCTGCTCTGTCATCCGAGAAGAGCCTTGTACCAGTCGTAGCAGTGGTCGCCGGGAACAGCTCGTCCAGTGCTTCCACTTCGCTTGACGTCCAGTTCCTTGTGAAAAAGTCATCATAAGCTCTCTTGGACGTGGAGATTTTGTCATGAGATTTTCTCATTTGTGTCTAAAGTTTATTTATGGTTCTAGGTAGTAAATGAGAAACTAAGTGAAGTCAGGCAGGAGGCTTGGACAACTCAATTAATATACTTTATTAATATTACAGGTAGTACAAGTGACAGCAACCATTCTAAGTTTAAATGGAAGAAGCATTCATGTATTTCATATTTTCATTAGAGAAAAAACACTCTCTGTTACACCAAACGGCGATGCTTGCATTCACCAGAACTTCATGTTCACTCATATCAAGTTATTACTACATCACAGTATATATTTTCACCCACCTTCTATTGTCACTCAATTTGTCAGTAGCACTCTCTTTGTCCTTGCAGAAAACAAGATCACTAGAAGCTCCTGTTCATCCTCTTCCGAAACCTCTTTATGAACATGTCACAAGCCTGGTCAATCGCATCATCCATGTTAAACTCTAAGCCTTCCACCTCCCGGTTGCTCTTGATGATATCCATGATGGATCGCTCGTCGAGTGCATCAAGAGTACCATGATCATCATGGTAGCCTTCTTCTTCTTCATCATCATCGTTATAATATTCGTCATTGAACAAGGAGTGTGTCCAGTCAGGGTAGTGATCGTGATCATCTTCTACAAACATCGCCACCTCAGAGAGATCAATCACACCATCTTGTTCATGATCAGTAGTAGCTGGCTCTTGGATGCCCGCTGCCACCTTGCGCAAGACAAGCGCCCTGTCACCATACTCCAACCTGGTCTGATTCTCCCTGTCTGATGACATCAGCGCATCTATCCTGCGAGAGATCGTCCGGACCGTTGCCATCTTGAAGCGGAGCGAGGCTAGGACGAAGAGCTTTGTTATTAGGGTGTCAGTCTTGCTCTTGAACACAGTTGCCGCCTTCTTCAGCAGCTCAGGGGCCTTGCACATCCTCATCTTAGAATTGGTGGAGAGCTAACAATAATGCTGCTTATCAAATATGGTTTCTAAGGCTCTGTTGTGGCTGAAGCTTTGCATTAGTAGTGAGTTGCAGAGAAACGACTTATGAGACACAGTAGGTTTTAGAGGCACGGGCCTTGCCTTGATGCCAAATGAGGTGTACTTATAGCCAAGAGCTAGTTAGGTGGTCACGAAACGCCGAACTGTGCAGCTCTCTCCTCATGTCAAGATCAAGCTTTTGGCAGCTCAAAGCATGAAAATAACACTTGGAGAAATCAATTGGTATGTGTAGTAAGCACTGCAATTAAGAACAATATATCGATAGTGGAAGCAAGCTAGGGTTCATAAGGGTAGCATATGTGTAAGTTCATGGATTAGTTTACTGGTAGACACCATCTAATTGTAGCATTCGTCGATGGACACCACTTAACATTGTCTTTTGCTAATGAACATATTCTTCAAATGTGATAATTTCCTGTAGGATACCTAGGCTATTCAAATTTTGTCGTCGCTTGCGCCGATTACGGATCCTGCTAGTTACGAAAAAAACTCGACCTACGGGGGTAAGCCACCCGGACATTGCTGTAAGAGAGAACCAATTGCACCGATTACAGATCCTGCTAGTTATGAAAAAAAACTCTACCTGCAGGGGTAAGCCATCCCCGGACGTTGCTGTAAGAGAGAACCGTTGCCATGTGAGACATGCGCTTTGGTTGTGGGACAGACGAGGGGATTTTTTTAACCCAAGCCTACAATTTGCTCCCACAGGGAGTCGAACTCAGGACCTGAGAAATGCCGCCGATGCCACCTAACCAGTTCAGCTAGACACCCTTTGGCGTCCTGCTAATTATGATACGTTGGATATCATGTGACTACAAGGCAAAATTCGTCTTTTCACTAGTTCCCTTACTCATCCATAATTGAAAAATATTGTTTTAATAAATTATGTGTCCTGCAACAAATGACCATATTTGAAGGATATTCACTGGCACAAACAAAGTTGAGTGGGTCCATCGACAAATATCACAGTTGAATGAAGTCCACTAATAAAATTACCCTAAGAGCGCGTTTGGTTCGGATGTTTTCCTCTATTATCGATTCAGAGCGGCATGCACCTCATCACTTTATTTGTTGTTTGGTTCAGACGTCCAGTATCCGGTTGCCGTGGTTCCTGGTACGGGTCTTCAGAATCTCGATACTGCCCATCTCTTGGAGTTAATTGTTCTGTTCGTTTGGCTGATAAGCCATGACTGAAATTACTGTCGGCTGATTTATTGTGAGAGAAAAATACTATTTATTAGTTGAAAAAAGTATAGCTTATAAGCGAAGCAAATATGGCGAATGATTACGCTCGTCTCGCTCCATGACAAAAGCTGGCGTCCCAATCAAACAAAAGCTGCTAAATATTGCAGTGTAATACTCCACCCTAAATGTTTGTCGCCATAATTTGCGTATCAAGAATTTTGACTTGATTTATAGAAAATACGTGCAACATTTCTATCTCCAAATAAATTTATTAAAAAACTAGATTCTAATATCTATCAATGATACTAATTATGTATTATAAACATTAATATTTTTCAATATATATTTAGTCAAAGTTGTTTCTCGGGAAGCGAAAACGACAGACATTTAAGCCTGGTTTAGTTCCCAAAAATTTTCACCCCAAACTATCACATCGAATCTTGCGGCACATACATGAAGTATTAAATATAGACGAAAAAAACTAATTACACAGTTTGGTTGGAAATCACGAGACGAATGTTTTAAGACTAATTAGTCCATGATTAGCCATAAGTGCTACAGTAACTAACATGCGCTAATGATGGATTAATTAGGCTTAATAAATTCGTCTCGCAGTTTTCAGACGAGCTATGTAATTAGTTTTTTTTATTAGTATCCGAAAACCTCATCTGACATCTCTGAAACATCCGATGTGCCATCCAAAAATTTTCATTTCGCGAACTAAACAGGCCCTTAGTGACGGAGAGAGCAGGTAGCAGTGTGAGTTAATTACATTACCGTTGCCATCGTCCCAAAAGATAAACCACAGTGCACTATAAGTTCATGCATAGGGACAGAATGTACGACATGAGTTCATATGTGCCGATGCCATGAAGGCCTGCACTTGTAAGTGAGCATATGTACTGCGTTCCCAAGAAAAGGTTTTTGAAAAGGACATGAAGAAAAAAGTGCACTCAAGTTACTGAATGAAAGTGCACCTGCCCCAGGTGAAGATTGGCTCCCTCTGATAAAAAAGTTCAAATTGTTTGTTAATCTATGCACTAAGTGGCCGGTGATGGCTACCGTCATAAAAGGACAAGCGGCCAAAGGGATCGCTTTTGTTTTCTTGGGCGCTTCCGTGTGATTCATGCCCCAATGGGGCAGGCTAGCTCAAAGTTGTTTCCAGTGCCCTTAGCTTTTTCTCTATAATGTAGGTGCAGTGGTGTACACTAGACAACTGACAACGGTTCTTCTATATGTCTGTGTGCTTTGCTGCATGTCAGCACCAAATGTAAATCAGCTTGTGTGCAAGATGGAAACTCTTGTCTTCCTATGGCAAATTGGCGATTCGGCATGCGGTGGAGTTTTGGCTGGTTTCAGCTCATGCTCCTCCGTGCATTATATAGACGGTAGTAAATAACTGTTTTTTTTTTCTTCATCAGTTCCGGCTCCTCTTTAAGTTGTAGCAAGGGACCGGAGCCGTTCGGAGCTGTGACAAACAAGACCTAATTCTAGCTTCTTAGCTCTAAAAAATGTCTTCTTGTCGCTGCATCTTATTTTACTATTATAACTAGCCTATCAAGTTGTGCTCCAGCATGGCCTATATATAATATTACATCACATAATAAGTATTAAAAGTTTTTTGGATGGATTTAGTATGCACAACTAAAATTAGTTGTCTTCCCACACTCTCTCACTCTCTTCATTTCCAACACAATACTCATTTAGATGCTCCACAATTTATATCCGATCGTGATAATTTACCAATTCCTCTATATGCGTTTTAATTCTATGCATTGCATCTGTATGGGTATTCAATATACAGAGTTGGAACTTTAGCTTAAATTATATTATGGCCCTTTTCATATGCTTTTGTTTTAATGAATCTAAATTTTAGCTTTCATCTTCTAATCTTATTGGTTGTTTATCAATGTGTTAACTTCAAACCCTAGTTGTCGGGGACCAATACTAGGGTACCTGAGGAGGAGGAGCTAATGACCATCAACATTAATTCGTCCGCGCGATCAAGAGCGCGACTACGCTGCTTGCCGGGCTCCGCCTCGTCCGGCCACCGAGGCCATGGGCCATGCCTCGTCTGATCCCCGAGGGTTGGCTCCGCCTCGGTGGGCGCTGCGGCCACGGGCCCCGTCTTGCCCGACCCCTGAGGGTTGGCTCGGCTGGCGCCGCCTCGCTCGACGTCTGAGGGCTGGCTCCGCCTCGCCCGACGTATGCGCGTGACTCCTTTACAACAACGCGCGGAGCAGATAAGGCAAGGCGCTCAAAGTCAACCGCAATACCGAGGACTGTACCCTGTACACCTGCAGGACAGTACCGTCATGCCATGCCAGAAGGGTGCTTTGCGACCTTCCAGGCATGTCAGAGCCCAAACAGTGTTGTAGGCGTCGACATTTGCCTCACAGTGTTGTGGGCACCGTCATTTGCCCTTGGGCATGGATCCTTACGGAAGCTTACGACAACCACTACGGTCCAGAAGGTGTGACCCAGGGTCAAACTTCTAGAGTCGTGCAGGGAGCGTTCACACCTCAGCGCAACCCGTCCCCGCGACATGTCATTCCAGGGAACTCACATCGCCCACAGTGACGGACGCGTGGTCACTGTGCTGCCTACTCTCTGTATGGCCGCTGATCAGCACACTGGTTCACCGCGCCGCCCACCAGGATGGAGTGAGACATGACGACCCGCCGACAATGCTAGGGCGTGGCATTGCCAGTGGACAGGCACCCGACGTGGCCCTATCATGGTCAGCAGACAGGCGCCCGGCGTGAGGCTGTCCCTGTCACCACCTGCCATGTCAGCGAGGCCCGCACAGAGGAAAAGAAAGTTCCGGCGACCCTGAATGACTTCCTTTGCCTCTCGTTTTCCTTTTTTCTCCCATCTGTAATCCATGCTCTCCCTTAGTCTATAAAAGGGAAAACAGGGCACCCCACTAAAGAGATCGATTCACCGCATCGCACATCACACCACATCATAGCAGAACCACTAGCATCGAACCTCGAACACATAGCTGAGCAGCGACCGAGCTCTCGGCACCCATTCGTTCTTTCCATCAAAGACTTAGGACCTGTCCCTCTCTCGCCCATTTGTAACCCCTACTACGAACTTTCAGTGCTAGTAACACGAGCAGCAGCAATGAACTGGACGTAGGGATATTCTGCCCGAACCAGTATAAATCTCGTGTCCTCTTAGCACACCATCCGAGCTAGACGCGCAATATTATAAACTTACTTGTTGGTGTTTACTCGAAACACCGACAGTTGGCGCGCCAGGTAGGGTCTTTGCGCGTCCCGACATTAACATCAGGCCACGGATGGCTAGTCACGGCATCAACTGGGCCCCGGGCGCACACGTGCGCTTCGGGGACCTGGACTTCATCATCATGGCGGAGGGAGAGCTGATGCGGGCGCCCGTCGTCGTTCAACCCTTCCACTCCACCGGCCTCGGCGCGATCACCGAGAGGCTCGAGGAGCTGCGGCCGCATGCGCTGGAGGCCCGTGCCCCTGGGAGCGGCCAGCTCCTCAACTTCGACTACGGAAGGTTGGAGCGTCAGCTCGGCGTCTTCCTGGGACACCGACCGTCCCAGGAGGACCTGCGCCACCTCGCCTTCTCGTTTGCCAACGTTATGGCGCAACTTACCGGAGGAGAGCCGCTCTCCCCGGAATGCCTCATCCGGAGCGCCCCGACAGTACTCCTGTTCGGTCTCTGCAACGCCGCAGAGACCGTTGGCCACTTTGTGGCGCAGCGCATGATCCCAT